GTTTATCAGCCAGGCTGGCACAATAAACTATCTCAGTTGTGATTTCACTTTTTTTCCCCCTACTCCTTTAAGATATGAAACTTTAACCATGGTTTTCTTGATGTACATCGTAGTACTTATTTTTGAAACTGCATGTGTATTTCACATTACAATAATGAATGCAAACTCCACATAGATAATATATATGTGCTCATGACTTAGTGTTTTGTTTTTATCTTTCCCTCAGTATTCCCAGTGAAACATCACCTCTTTTGGCGAATCTCCTTTTGGGTTTACTCCAAAGAAACCAAAAAGATAGGATGGACTTTAGTAAGTAATAGTTTCAGATTTTGTGTGCTTTCTAATTTTATTTTTATGTGTTTGATTTTTTTTAAGATACTAGTTATAAAATGTAAATCAGTTTAACTTCCTTCTATCTCTTTTTATCCCTCCCCACTATCATGTTTTAATAAATATTTAAGGGCCTAATATGTTGTAGGTACTACTAGCACTACAGTAATAAATACATTTTATTGTAGGAGATCAATAAGCAAATTATAAACAAATTACATATTAGAAGTTGATAAGTACTATAGTGAAAAAGGAAAGGGAAATGGGTGTGGAGGTCTAGGATAGAAATTGAAATTTGAATTAGGGCAGTCAGGGAAGTTCTCACTGGGAAGTGACATTTGAAAATAACTTGATTGATGATGTTCAGAAAGCAAGCCATGTGGATATCTGTGGAAAGATCTTTTCTGACAGAGTGCATGCTTTGTACACAAGTTCAGATATGAGATCATACAGCTTGAAGAATAGCTACAAGGCCAGTTAAGAGCTTGTGTTTTTACTCAAAATTGTTGGAGAACCTTTGGAGGATTTTGAGTAGAGGTATACATATTATCTGACCGATGTTTTAAAAAGGATCCGTCTGGTTGCTGAATGAACTGGGGCTGGGGCAGGGGAAGGGGCAAGAGCACAGTAAGGGTAGAGCTGAGAGAGCTTATCTAGGAGATGCTTGCAGTTATCTAGAGGACTTAGGAACCTAGCTTAGTCTAGACCAGGGGTCAGCAAACTTCTAAGATTGTCAGGACAATTCTGCCCCTTACAACAACTTAAAATTATTTGAGAGACAGAAATATATTTTTAAAAACACATGAAATCACCATTAGCTGAAGAATATCCTTTAAGTTTTTTTTTTTAATAAAGAATTTTTTTATTTTATTTGTTTTAAACATTTTATTAGGGGCTCATACAACTGTTATCGCAATCCATACACAACACACATCAGTTGTGTAAAGTACATTTGTACATCATTCTCAAAACATTTTCTCTCCACTTAAACCCCCGACATTAGGTCCTCATTTTTCCCCTTCCTCCCCGCTCCCCCCTCCCTCATGAGCCCTTGATAGTTTATAAATTGGTATTTTGTCATATCTTGCCCTGCCCGACGTCTCCCTTCACCCACTTTTCGGTTGTCCGTCCCCCAGGGAGGAGGTCACATATAGTTCCTTGTAATCGGTTCCCTCTTTCCTACCCATTCTCCCTTTACCCTCCCTGTTTCGCCACTCACACCACTGGTCCTGTAGGGCTCATCCGCCCTGGATTCCCTGGATTTTCAGTTCCTATCTGTACCAGTGTACCTCCTCTGGTCTAGCCAGCCTTTCAAGGTCGAATTCGAGTCATGGTAGTGGGAGTGGGGAGGAAACATTTAGGACTTAGAGGAAAGTTGTATTTCTCATTGTTGTTACATCGCACCCTGACTGGCTCATCTCCTCCCTGAGACCCCTCTGCAAGGGGATCTCCAGTGGCCTACTAATGGGCTTTGGATCTCCACTCCACACTCCCCCCATCATTCACTATGGTAAGATTTTTTGTTCTGATGATGCCTTATACCTGATCCCTTCAACACCTCGTGGTTGCATAGGCTGGTGTGTTTCTTCCATGTGGGCTTTGTTGCTTCTGAGCTTGATGGCCGCTTGATTACCTTCAAGCCTTGAAGACCCCAGACGCTATACTTTTTGATAGCCGGGCACCATCAGCTTTCTTTGCCACCTTTGCTTATGCACCCATTTGTCTTCAGTGATCCGTTCGACACCTCATGATCACACAGGCTGATATGTTGTTCCATGTGGGCTTTGTTGCTTCTGAGCTAGATGGCCGCTTGTTTACCTTCAAGCTTCCTTTAAGTTTTTTCAGTTGTACTTCAGAGCCACATGTATTGCATATGGCTCATGAGCCTCAGTTTGCAGACCCGTGACCTATGCTAAAAAGTGGTGGTTTTGAGAGTTAATTGGATTTTGAAACTCTTTGAGGTAGAGGGAACTAATGCATTAGGTCTAAAAAGAGAGAAAGAGATGGTTCAAGAATGACTTAAAGATTTTTAACTTGAGCAAGTGAAGGGATTTACAGAGATGGCTAAAGCAGGCTACCATTATATATATATATATATATATATATATACACCTAAATGGAGATGCCAAAAAGGTACTTGGATTTCAGAGCAAAGGACTAAACTGAAGATATATTTGGGAACTCTCAGCCTATGAGTGATGTTTATTAGATCTTCTAGTGTGCCATTTAAATTATTTTACTCTTTAAAAATATACTTTTCTATTTAGAGTTATTTTCTTAACTACTAAGAGAACTTCATTGAAATATAGATGCTTTGCCCTTTATATAGTTCCATTCCCTCCTTCTACTTTGTACTCTCTATTTTATAAAACCTACACTACAACCACTAGTTGCTAAATTGATTGTTATTGTACCTCTATGATTTTCAGTGGAAAAACTATACATTGTAGGGATTCAGTGGTTGATTTTTCTCTTTTTCTATTGAGGTGCTCTGGGTGGACTCAAACTCCCAACTTTCTGATTAACAGCCACACCGTTTAACCATTTGCACTACCTAGGGACACCAGATCCTTTAACACAGTATTAAAATTATTGGTTTGTACAATAATAAGACTTTTAAAGAAGTGAGGAGACAAAATAGAAAAAAAAAACTAAAAACACATTTATAGAACCTTATATTAACATGTAGTTACCCTATTTACTACACTTCATTCCTTCTGGGGGATTCAAGTTGCTCTGTGGTATAATTTTTGCCTTAATATAATTCTATTTTCTCATACCTCCCTTGTGCTGTTTTTGTTATTTATATATTACATCTTTATATATGTTTTATGCCAAACACAATCATTTATGATTATTTTTTGCAGCTGTCTTTTATATCAGTTAAGGGTTGAAAAGAAGAAAAATATGTTTATATTCTTTTATTTATCTAAGTATGGTAGTGGTTACATATTGGGTTGCTAACCATAAGGTCAGCGCTTGAAAACCACCACCTGTTCCAGGAGAAAGACAGAGCTTTCTACTCCTGTTAAAGGTTAGTCTCTGAAACTCACAGGGATAATTCTACCTTTTCTTTTAGGGTCCCTATGAGTTGCCATCGACTTAATTAATGGCAGTGAGTAAATTTTATATTTTCTACCTTATAGGCTCCCAAACTTGGCCTACTGCCACCTTTTCAGAAAATAAAAAAAATGAATTATTGGTACTCAGGGCTCCCTTGGCAATGAAAAAAACATTTTTACTCTAGCCCATAATCCAGGATAACAGATACATTTTTGTTTTTGAAGCCCATCACTGGATCATTCAGTCTGGGAAGCCCTGATCTATGTAATTATTACTTTCTTGATGACTAATGATGTTGAATATTGTTTTCTGTACTTTTTGCCCATTTCTTTTTCTTCTTAAAATTTTAATTTATTTCATCTTTTATTTTTGACAATATGCATGGAACATACATACACTAATTCAATAGTTCTTACCTCTACAATTCAATGACTTTGATTATATTCTACAAGTTCTGCAACCATTTAGTCTGCTTTCCTGAGTTCCTTCTTTTTTTTTTTTTTTTTGTTCCCTGAGTTCCTTCTTAAACATAGATTTCACTGTCCCTTAAGTTTCCTATTTAATCTTTTGCTTTCCTGGTTCAGTTTGATCCCATAAAGGTAAATCTTCAAAGCACAAAGTCTACACTTCTTAAAATTGAGAGATTGCTTGAAGAATCCAAATTTAAAGATTATCTAAGTACAGTAGTTTTTATCTTATGGATCCTATAGACATTTGAAATTGTTACATTTTCCCCCTTTTGATCGGGATTGTGTTACATAATCTTTGATTAAAACATATCATCTAGTTTTCCTGGTCTCATGGCAAAAGAGCCAGTTGTTCAATGGAGGCAACTAACCACACATTGCATTTCTTCCTTCTATTCTTGGCTATTCTTCCTCTGTTGATCTATGTAAGGAAAGATCAATTGTACCTTGGATGGCCTCTGCTTACTTTTAAAAACCCAAGCCTGTTTTTTAATTAGGAGGTAGAATAGACGCACTAAACACAATATTGGGCCAATTAACTGAGATGTCCCTGAAAGGCATGGTACTAAGTCTCTAAACAGAAACCTAATCATGAGAGGTGCTTGTACATACGTAGCCTTAAAAGCTGCATTTTTATTGTTGTAAATACTTGACACATTAATTTATCTTTTTAAATCTGTACAGTTAATTAACATAAATCAACAGCCATGAAACCTTATCCTTATCAATGTGATTTCTTCATTATTGTAGACAGAAACTCAGTGTTCCATAAAAGCAAAATTATCATGACTTTGTTTGGATTTCCCTAATGACTAATGATGTTGGACTTACAAATGCAAGTTGTCAATATTGTCTTTTATGGTTTAAGAATTTTATGATCTATAAAATATATTTACTGGCTCCGGTATCTCTAAGAGTTTCACCTTTGTTTTCATGGATAATTTTGTAGTTTTAAGTATTGTTTATGTTTATTATTCACTCACTAATTTTATTTATGATGTGAGGAAAGAGTTACGCATTATTATTTTTCTGTGGAGTTAAATCAGAACTATGTGGAAAAAGCTTGTTTTTCCCCCATGGGGGAAAAATGTGTTTTTCTTGATAATCATTACATTTGCAGAATAATATGCAATATAATCTGTATCTAACTGAAATGATTTTTTTTCTCTCTCTCTCTCTTAATATGAATTACATTTTCTTTAGAAAATGTTAACATTGCATACCTGAGTTTAAACTCTGCTTGTTCATGATGTATTATCATTTTTATGTATTGTTAATTTTATTTACTAGAATGTTTTAAAAGGTATTTTTGTCTGTGATTATGAGAAATAAATATCTAGTAGTTTGTTTACAGTTTTCTTTTGGTACATTTATCAAGTTTGGGATATGGCACATAATTTCCTCTTTAAATAATTTGGAACGTATTCCTTTTCTGTTTCTTGGAAGAGT